AATCCCAATTAACCAATGGAAAGGGACTAGAGAGTTATAGTCCAAAACATCTGCAAGGCAAGAGGTCACCCATCTGCAGTTAGAATGTTATAAGGCATTAGAACTGGTGATAAGGATTGGAATTCCCTGTCAGCCAGAGAACCTATTTGCCGATTTGAGACCAATTATTTCTCGCTAAGTCTTTTCCTTATGTTGTTCTAAGGGTTATATAAAAAAACAGAAAATCCCTGTTCTGAAATCTTGGGGGAGAGAGCAAAACATAAGAGCAATTAATTGATTATGAAGTGGCTCTAGACAATTGCTGCCTTGGATACCTTGGGGCTTACCCACAGTTAAATGAAAAATGGTTTGCTTCATCAAGTTTTCTGATTAGCACATATTAAGCTAAAGTGCTGCTGGTTTGTGGTTTACTGGCTGAAGGAAACCCAGCTCCTAGTTATCCCACTTGACTGGGCATCAGAAAAATTATCGGAGGAAGGAGACGGAGAATGTGCAATGTCTTTGGCTCTTTAGAAGAAAGGTGCGAAGTGGAAGTAATAATCACGGCTTTAGCATGAAATAAATTCTAATACTAATAATGATAGTATGTCAATTTGCCTGTGGCAGAAGAGTTGAGTTAAGAGAGCTCAAGTAAGGCTTAAAAGATTTGCTGTCTGGGATATCTTTTTTACTTTGGTTTCCAAGAAACCTCGAAAGCCAGGTCTGAATAGTCCTGGCAAAATCACTTAATCACTTTTATTAAATATTTCAGTGGGCGTTGTGTTCTAGGAGACGGAGATTTCCTTGATGGCTAGAGCAAGACATCCCGAAGTGCTCAGAGGCTGGCGTCTGAATCTGGGGCCGAGCGCAACGCGAGATCATTTTCGGCAGGACCTGCTTCTCTCCTTCGCTCAACCGCAGAAAGCGGCCGGAGAACCCGAGAACCGCGCCAGCGCCTAGGGGAGAAGGAGCCAGCCAGCCTCCCCGCTTTAGCAAACTCACCCGAGCCTCCTCGCTAGAAGAGCGTCTCCCCCGGCCGGGCAAAGGAGGCTGCAGGGGGCGACGGACGCGTGAACTGAGCCAAGCGGCCGTCTGTTTCTTTTCGCCCTGAGCTTCGCCTGAAGCCAGAAGCCCCCAAAGAGGGGGAGGAAAGGAGCGGCGCCCGAGCTCCGGCCGGCCAGTGGCTGCAGCTGGATCCCGGCGTCTCAATTAGATCGGCCGGAGGCCAAGCGAGCTCTCCCGCTGCCACCGGCATTGACTGCGCCAGCCGAGGGAGATCGAAAGCAGATGGACCGAGCCCCTCTGCCTTCTCGCCCGGCCCCGCCTTCTTCCCTTCCCCGGCCGCTGCCGGTCCTCCGGGGCCGAGGTAGACCTGCCGTGCCAGGCGCCGGACTTCTTCCCGCTGAGCCCCTACCCCAAGAGAAGTAGCGAGGCCAGGGGCTGGCGTTCAAGAGTAGGCTCCTTACCGAAGGCTGGGCGGATGAGCACCCGGGCTATCGCGGCTGGGACGTCGCCGCCGGGTAGCCTTTCCCCCCATCGCGGGCGAGAGATGAGACCAGTTAAGTTGGAGCAAACTCAAAAGTGAACTCCGGGAGAAGCAGGTGGTGCCGGCGGGCTGAGCAGGGAAGGAGAACGAGCGCGTCCACTGATCGTGTGGGACGATCAGCGCTTAGCGGCGATCCTAAATGCCTCAATAAAACCCAAAGCATTAGTTTTTAGGGACGTCTTGAGTCAGCCTTTGGCTAAATTCTATACTGTAAATGCTTAAACCCAAAAGATTAACTACCGAAGAGCTGGACTCCTGCGCAGGTATTTTTGCGCAGTTTTCTTGCCAACAGTAATTAAGCGGTTTTTCCTCGAGTTCTTTCAGGAAGTTTTGGGAGCTCTCAGATTAACTCACAGTCTGGGGTTTCCTAATGATCTCCCATCCAAGGACTAATTAGGTCTAAGCCTGCTTAGCTTCTAAACTCTAAGCTTGGTCCATCAGGATCTTCTCCTTTCAAGATTGACACACTTGCCTGAGAGTAAGCGCTACTAAATTCATTAGACTGACTGCTGTATAAAACTTTCTGAGAGGGCAGCATAGCCATGATTTTTGTCTCCACATCCACACAACATAAATGTGACTGGTTTGGGTTTTTGATTTTCTGGTGAACCCTGACATCTGAGATTCATACTGCTATTAACTAAACAAACCTTACATAATTTGTATAAAAATTGCATGCATTGATTATGGGTGCTAAAATCTCCACCTCCACTACTAAAGTGAGGAATGAAAAGATATCTCTACCATCACTGCCCTCCACCACATAATGATTTCAGTCCTATAATGTAGCATGATATCATGTTAATGGTCCTACAAACAAGTAGTTGATTACTTATCAGTTCTTATGCTTCCCAGCTGTATTGGACAAATGAGAAAGTGGGTGAGCAAGGAGCAAAAGGAAGTTATTCCCTGGTAACTCTAATGGCCTCTTCAGAAACAGTTCAGATTAGCACCATCTCTTCCCAGTTGCAGTGACATAATCTGTCCATCCTTTCTAAAAATGTGTCATGCTTGTTTGTGTACCCTTAGTGGTATAAAAAACAAATACAGATCAACTTTTATAGCATCAATTCTACAGCCGTGAAGGAGAGAGTAAGGTGGACTTAATAATAAAGAGTTTGATTTCAAATGTAAGTGCATGTGAAGGCATGCAAAATGAAGTAAATAAAGTATTAATGTATGGAAGTGATTATCAAATGGTGTGCAATCCCAGAGAGATTTCCAGTGTACAATATTTCTAGGAATCACCTTTGTAACCTTTTCTGAAAATAGTGAGGAAATAACAGTTACTTGTAATGGCATCCTCAGTGGTGAAATACTTTATGGAGGCTGGTTGTAAGATCTTTCTTTCTTTCTTGTTCCTTTCTTTCTCTCCCTGCAGAAAATTCCTCTGAACATTGGAAATCTATGAAAAGACAAGCAATATTTTTTCCTTCTCCCATTGATGAATTTTCCTTTCTGCCATCCACACATATAGAAAATGACACAAGGCAGTGCAGGTTCTCCCCCACCCCCATGGCCCATGGCAGATTTCTATTTTAGTGGGGATAGAGAAAGTCACCCATTTTACTTTGACTTAAATATCTGGAAAAGAGAATCCACTTCCCCAAAGCTGCTGGGAGATCAGATCTTCCAGACAAAAAATGACTATCCTGCCAAGAGAGTACCTTTCTCCTAGGGAGAGTATAGGTAACTCTGACCAACCAAATTTGTCAAGATCAGCTGGAATATCTGGTTTCAGCTTTTTGGTATCAAGAACACTAAAACTTTCGGTTCCAGGGGAAAACTTCTTGGTTTGATAATGATAGGCATAATGTGGCCTTTCAGGTTTGCTACACATTCTAAACTGAGAGAGGGGTATGGGTTACAATTACAAGGATGTCCACATGCTTTCTACATGGGAAAACTCCTCCTCTCATAAATGTATGTGAAGAGGTAATTTTATGGCCAAAGAAAGGCTACTGCAGTTACTTTAAGTAATCTTCTTTGTTGTTGTGAGGTTCTCAGGGCTGGACCCAGTTCATGCTATGGAACTGAGCACAGAGTGGTTCTGCTCATAAGAAAGCAAAGGAATAAAATTAAGCTACTTTGTGGGTGTACTGTCATATAATTACAAAATGGGCATGTGGATACTCACAAACTGATAGAGGTCCCCAGCAGAACTTTGAATTGACTGCCTTCTAAATTAAATTAGATTTTCACAATCTAATTAAAATGAGGTGCCATTGCAAATGAAGGAGGTTCCATACAAGGCTCCTCAAATAATCAGCTACATTAACTACTATCTTAAACAGACTGTGACCAGGGAATAACATCTTGAAAACACTGTGTGGTTCTGCCTGGAGTTCCTCAGCTTCCACCTAGTGATCTTCAACTCTTGGCCACATCTTTTCTACAGCAGAATACTGTTCCTCAGTCTGGATAAATAGTAGCCATACCAGACTGATCAACTGTGGGAATAATGCCCTTGCAGTCCATGTGTAGGCTGCCATGCAGCTGTACCACGTGGATGGAAGAAGGATGGAAGAAGGATGGAAGAAGGAACAAAGAGCAATCACCCCCTCTTGCAAACTCCCCCCACTCCTCCCATTTACAAGGCTTGTAAAGTGTGCTTACTGTCACGTACCTATATGTTAATATGTACCTGCCCCCTTCTTACCTTCTGTAACCACCCATTTTATCCCAAACACAATAAAAGGGGGTTTTGGAGTCAGCTCTGGGCGACTCATCCCAGACATGCTCTAGGCTCTCATCACGAGAAGCCCACCAGACATCAGCAATCAACACACAGCTGAATCATACCATGCGGCACAATAAGGACTATCTCCACTTTCTGATTACCAGTTTTGAGCCATATTCCTTCACCATGTCTATGAAGGAAAAATGCTTTACTGTGAGAGTATAAGAAAATAATTAGTAACATTCACCTGATGCTATGAACAACGGGCATCATACCACTGATGCTATGAACAACGGGCTTCGCTCCAGACATCCATCTATTAGGACAGCTAGAAACTTAAGGATAACAACTTCAATCTGCTTCAAGTCTGGGCACAAGAATGGTCCTCTATTGCTCCTCTATTGCATTCTTCAGAGTGACACATCATCCCCCACTTTACAGCCAAAACAAAAGAATCAATTTAGCTGCTAAAACTAGACTGGCAATCTAATTTCAATCCTCAATAGGATTAGGACTCAACACGGCAGGTGTGCTAATTCATAAATGGGAAAAACTCTCCTCTTTGGACTGCAGCAGTGGTGCTCCAAAACAGACAGTGCAAACCTCTCAGCACATACCAGAGGAACCCTGGAGACTTTCTGTATGCAACTCCATCATGAATTGGCTATATAAATAGTGTACCTTTGAATTTATAAATAGAGTAAATAGTTTCATATTTGATCATTGGGAATGTAATTGTGATATGTTTTGTTAAAATTTTCGCCATATGCCAAACAAACAAACAAACTACCTTGGAAAAATACATGAATTGATTGTTTATGATGATCAGTGTTTTCGGTGCCAGCCAAAACTAACTCTGGTAGTCCTGAGTGAAATGATTCCCGTCCCGGTTTCCTCCTATGCTCCTACATTTTCGTGGAAGAAAAGTGTAGAATTTCAGAGGCAAGCACCGAAGACACTTCAAAATAAATCCAAACCATTCACTTTGCTTGGATCGCACCGTGCAGGCTAATATTTGCCAACAGGACATGTTGCACTCAGGTCCGTGTGATCCTCGAAGCTTCCGGATAAATCCTTCTCGTGTACTTAGGTTCTCCCTACAAAAAAGAAAAAAAGTCGCAGTAGATATCTCACAAGGCCTCAACTGTCTTAAAAGCAACGCGGGGACATCTGGTTATCTCCTAAAAGAAAGAAGATAAGAGGAGAATGTTCCAAAAAGAAAGAGAAAAACGACAAGTCAACCAGAATCAAGTGTGATTCTGAGGGTAGAAAAATGCGCAAGGGCAAATTAGCTCCCTTTCAGGGGGAGACTGAGTTCCAGGCCTTCTCTGCCGGCTCCAGAGCCCCCCCCCCTTCGCCTTGGTTCCTCCCACTGCATTTCCCTCCTGTGGTGACCACCCGACCAGAGAAATGGTTTAATTTGGGTTGTGGGGAGATTGAGAGGAGAGGAACCACAGGACGAGGAAGACACATTTCGCTCCCTGTAATCACACCTTTTTATTACATTTTATGGATGGGCAATGTGGCCGGGTGGATCAATCCAATCCATTCATAATCAGGATTGAGGACACCTATTTGAATTAAAATCTATTAGCTCCTTCACGAGAGACGTGGCCCAAGCCCAAATCAATAAAACGCACAATAGAGTCTCACTTTCTATTTTTTTAAAAAACCCTCTCGTATAAAATGTGCTAAGAAAAAAAAACTCCTCTTGATCGATTCGATCCTTATAAATATTTAACCGGCCTAGAAAAAAAAGGGGGGAAAGGGGGGAGCAATGAGAACTTAGCGGAGGAAACGGAAGGCTATCGTAGTTAACACACCCAGCGTTCAGATTATAAAACATATTGTCCCGAGACTGATGTGTTTTGGAAATGGTGTGTGTGTGTGTGTGTGTGTCACTGGAGAGACAAGCTGGCTTTGGGAGAGTTGAAGATGATTTTTTGAGAAAGACCAAGACCCGGGTGTGTTAGTGTGTGTAAGCCAAAAAGAGTCAGGCGGGATCCACAGCGGGCCGAGTAACCCATTCAGGGAAAGTGCTCTCACTTTTTGAATTGCCCAGCCAGGCGGCGGAAGCCTCGGGAAGAATGTAAAAACACCATCTCTCAGCGCTCCACCCACTCACCACCGCTTCCCTGTATTAGCCCGGGATTGGGCTAGGGCAGAATTGGCCTACCAGTCCGGTCCGGCCGTTGCGTGGCAATCCTTTCGGAAGCCTAATCAAGGAGAACATCGCCCGAGCAACGTCCGGGAAAGAGCCTATAGGGAAGGCGAATGGACTTGCGGGAATAGCAGCGCTCTCTGGGAAAAAATTCCAGGCAAATCCCTGAGAGCTCCCTGAGATCTGGCCATTCGGCCGGGTGATGCACATTTGGGCATCCCTCCCCCGCGTCTCCCAAACTGCAGAACTTCTCGTAAAGACTCAGGGACGCCGAGGTGCGGATTGAACCGGCTTTTTTTGGGCTAAGGACTAGGGCCTTTTGGAGGCGAGGGGAAACAGGCCAGAGATCCGAGGTGCCGAGCCAAGGTCAAGTCCTTCCTCACCCGAGAAACCCTACAAAGGAAGAGGTCGCCATCTAGGGGCAGAGAAGCCACCAGGAAAGCAGGACAGCTGCAGCAAGGAGCAGCTTCTGTGCAGATGCCTCAGTGTGTGCCTGCCTATTGAGGGCCCCATTCTTCTTCACAAAGCATCAGGGATTCGTTAAAATGTTAGGAATTCATATTTTGTTATCGCCCCGTTGATGCTTTTTCAAAAATAGAGATTAAGAATAATAGTGGGAGGGAGAATCCATCTTTAAATCCATCAGGAAGGCAAGCAGAGATTGTTTCAAACCGTCGTAGCGGAACAAGGCAGGTGGAGGATCGCGTTTCTCCGAGAACCGGTTGATTCGATTTCAGAGGGAAATAGACAAAATCAGGATTTAACCTACGCCCCTCCAACCTCCCCCCCGCACCGACTGGTTAGCAAACTCGTTAAGTTGACCTGTTTCCAGATCTGAGTCTACCGGGACGCCCCCATAAGAGGTAATGGTTCTCCAAGGACGGATCGCGGGAAAAGAGCGCCTGCCGAACAGCTATTCCTTTTCCTTCTTGAGTAGGAAAAGCTCCCGTCCCCACTCCCAGGGATATAGCCTAGGCAAAGCAAAGGGACCCCAAAGGTGGATTCAGGGATTTCATCCAGTCTGGACCACGCGAAATAGGAGACGCGGAGAAAGTCCGCTCCTCCTACTTGGCGATTAAGATCACAGTTTCCAAACCGGTCCTCTTGAAAAGCAAAAGTTTGGGCATTTTAAAAAAACTTTTCTTTTGTGCCCCCTTCTTTCTCGCTCTACCTTAGCTTAATTCGTCAACTGCTCCGAACGAATTCGCATTTGTGTTGAATATAGGCGAACCTGTCTTTGACATGGGATATCGTAAAAACGTCAGGAGCAAAAATATGACAGTGGTTTGGCTTCATGGTTGCAGCCCCGCTTTGAGATTGCTGCATAATTGGGAATGGCAGAATCCCTCTGCTCCCCAGGATCCGAAAATGTCCAAATGTCCAAAACACAATCTGCTCTCTCTCTCTCTCTCTCTCTCTCTCTCTCTCTCTCTCTCTCTCTCTCTCTCTCTCTCTCTCTCTCTCTCTCCCTCTCCCTCCCTCCCTCCCTCCCTCCCTCCCTCCCTCTCTCTCTCTCTCTCTCTCTCTCTCTCTCACACACACACACACACACACTCCCTCCCCCTCCCTTTCTCTTTCTCTCTCAAAAAAGAGTTTAAACAACTCCCATCTACCAAGAAGAAATGGCCCCTGTCAAGCATACAGTGTGTGGTCTTTTTCTAAGCATCCACGTCTGCACGGAATCCGAGGTTAAAGCGTCTTGTCCAATCGGGTGGGCGGGCAGGGCAATTGGTGGGGACACAGACATTATTGCTGAGAAGGAATGAAGGGACATTTTCAGGTACATCTTGGAGCACATTTCTTTGACGCTAGCCCTTCCCCCTTTTCTGATGACCCTAAGTAAATGGTTAAACAAGTAAACAAATAGGATCTATCTGGATGGTTAGGAAAACGATTAAACATCGTAGCAGAGTTTTAGCAAGAAATATAAAATATACACTCTGTACTAATGTTAGCATGGGGTTTGTCCTTTTCATGTAATTGATTCGGTTTAACATGGAGAATTCATTAATTTGGAATTTAGTCGGGAAATTGTCCCCCCGATTCGTTTGAAATAGACTTCGACAGAAGATTGCCAAGGCTGTTTAAACTTTTCAAACACGCCTGGAGTACAGAGGGAAAGAAATCCAGGCGACAGGAGATCACATCTGCATACCTTGCCAAGACCCAAGGTTGGAAGCGAATAAGCACTTGACTTTGTTCCTTGGGTGCAGGGTTTTAGTATTTGATAGGGTCGGGAAGAGATCGCAACTGCACTTGCAAGAATGCGAGTGGCGGGAAAGATGATTTAGGAGGGTGTGCGGAAAGGTAGGAGGAAGAAACTCTCCCCCCTATTGGTGAGAAGGCTAATACCTCATTGAGGTCCAGCATATCCCAATTTGGTGCTGTTCAGCTGGGTTGGACGGTCACTCGGAGCCAAATAGCGGGATAGGGATGATGGAAGTTGTGGTCTAACCCATCGCCGGATTGAGGATTTCAGATTCCTTCTGGTGGTGTCTGTAGAGACAAAACAAAAATATATAGCAAAGATGAGAAGCAGCCGTGCAAGAAAGAAAACAGAAAAAATATCCTAGGAATTGTTCCTCAAACAAGTACCCAGAAAACAAGCCAAGATTGACTGCATAACATTTGGGGCCAGAAAATGGCTTCTCTGTTTGATGCTCGCTTTCTGAAATCACTGCTATCCCCAAAGAACCACGGGCCAGGTCCAAGGGCAATCTACATTTCTGATCACCTCTGGCTTTTTTAGTGGCTGCTCAGGTGGTTTACTTAAGAATACTTGCCTAGAGGTCTTAATTCACTGGCGGGGTTGCTTTTATTCTGCCTAAATTTGAACTTCCCTGTCTCAGGTGCTGGAACTGTGTGAAACCTGAGATGCGATTAATTCCTTCCTCTTGTATCCAAGCAAACCCTGCGGGTCGATCTCTCTGTTTCTGACCAATCCGACAGAGTTGTTGCGCGGCCTAAAGTGAGATAATCACAATCTGCCCCGAGTTTCCTCCAAGAGATACAAAGGAAGTCACTAGACTATTGAGAAGGGTGGTGGTGGTAAAGTGAGGTGGTGAGGAAAAAAGCCAGATCTGATCAGACAACAGGCCTCACATAGGCCCGGTGACTTCTCCGAAATGTCTGCTTTAGAAGCGCTCTCTCATCCGGTGCTGCCTTTAGGCTTTCCAAGCCGCTTGGTTTATTGGCGCTCGATTGGCGCTGTCCTAGATTGGCGGTCTTCACTGACTGAACCCTCCTTGTACTCCTGAAGAAGGCGAGGCCCCCTCGGAAACGTCCGGAGATCCGCCGGCTGTACCGAGATCAAACGGCCAACCCTAGTTCCTCCAGATAATTTTTTAAAATTCACGCCGGAATGGATCTACTTTTAAAAAGCGCTTTTATTGTTTCCTCTTCTTTTTCTCTCTCCTCTCTTCTCCCTTGGTGGAAATGCCAAGACTGCTGCTGTTGTGGGTATCAGCGGATTAATTAAAAAAAGGCCTTCAGAGAAAAGGGGGAGAACAGGAAAGAAAAGGGAGGGGAAGGTGCTCTTCCTTAGCCCTCTACACTAAAGGACAGTCACTTCCAAAAGTGCACAGAATGGGTATACTTAGTTTTGCAGAGTGATTTACAGCACTCAAAAGATTCACTGAACTCGGGAGCAAAATTGTGTGTGTTTGTGTGTGTGGATTTAAGTCGGGGCACTTCGAGAGCGCATGCACAGAGAGAAACAAGAGGGAAGCGAGAACGCGACCTTCCAGACAAAAACCCCGAAGAGGCGCTTTTCCCCAGGGGCTGGAGTAACCCTTGAAGGGGGACAGCGGAACGCAAAATCGGAGCATTGTCTTTCAAACTCCGCTGACACCGGGTCTGCTCTGATGCGGTCTCAGAGTGAGACTGGGGGAGTCTGTAGGAACGTTCTGCCAGCCCCTGAACCCTACGGCCACCCCTTGATTGGAAGGGAGTTCACTTTTAAGCACAAGCGCTGGTGTGAACTCAGCCTTAACCGGAGGGAAAGGGGGGCAGTCAGGCAAGGAGAACCGCCAGCCAGCGCGAAGCTTTGCTGCCTTCGGTCTGGGCAAACCTCTCACCCCCGCTTAGACGAATCTCCCTCCTTCCCTGGGGCGATCTGTAGACACCGCTTCGATCTACAAAGGGGGGATCGATTTAATCGCCTCGGGTGTTGCTCTGGCAGATTGAGGGGCCGCAATAAGAAAGCTCAAGGGAAAGCCTTGCGGGGCCCCGAAAATGCAGGTTGCCTTCTGAGATCCGCTTTTCCCTAAAAGTTTCCCGGATCTCAGCGGTATTGGCTTTGGGGCACGGGGTTGCGATGCAAGACCCGCAAGGGGCCGTTAGGTTTTCTGGAGCAGGCCTTCGCTTGGTGAAACCCGCAGCCCCCGGAAGCATTTTTTCCTCCAGCAACTCGCCCATCTTCAGGCGGTTACGGAACGCAGGGTTGCATTGCCTGCGTTCCGTATCAGGTGAGAAGGCAAGCTGGTGGGCTCTTTTTCTCTTGGATCCCGCCCCCTCCCTTTTGATACTTGAGGGCTCTCTGTCTCTGTCTCTCTCTCTCTCTCTCTCTCTCTCTCTCTCTCTCTCTCTCTCTCTCTCTCTCTCTCTCTCTCTCTCTCTCTCTCTCTCTCTCTCTCTCTCTCTCTCTCTCTCTCTCTCTCTCTCTCTCTCTCTGTGTGTGTGTGTGTGTGTGTCCTGGCCTAACTTGTAACAGAGCGGAAAGAGAAGCAAACGCTGTGCAGTCTCTCGACTCCTCGCTCATCCTCCTTGCACTGAATGGTCTCGCCACCGAAAGTCTGCGGGGGCCCTCAGCGAAACTGCCCCAAATTGAGAATTTAGGGAAGGGAAGGGGGAGAAGACAAGGGCGACAAAAATCAAGAAAAATCCAACACTTACAAAAAAAAATACTGAGCTCTCCAGCTGGACCGGATTTACCTTTGGATTGAACCATCGGCTTATTTCTCTCTGGCTTCTCCTCCCCGGCCCGCTTGTCCGCCTCCTATAAGTCCACACGCACTCGCGAGCTGGCAGTAAAGTCTTCTTCGACTTTTGTCCCACACACACTCCCCTCATCGGTTGAGTTCCTGCAAACCTTGGCAAAGCACACCGGCCACGAGGTATCTGTTTGGGGGGGGGGCTGGGAGGGAGGGGCTCGTTGGCTTTCTCCCTCCGCCTCTTTCTGCTCTTTGGTTCCCGAAATCAAGGTGCAGCGGACGCCAACGCGTGATGAAACGTAAAACAAGCAAATTGCTGGCCCGAGGAGGGGGGAAACACTCTTCGGCGTCTGCCTGCGTCTGGGAAAGAGGCAGTAATTGCTGGAGACAGCGAGAGCTGGGGGGGGTGGGGGTGGGCTGAAGTAGCCCAGTATAAATAGTGGGATCTCAAATTGAAAGGCATAAATAACAGCGGGAGTGATCTAACCCCGATTCAGCCTCTTCTGTTTGTAGAGCTCCTGGGCAAGGGGTATCTGAGCGCGTGCCCGCTCACCCACACATTCACACATAGGCGGGAGCGCGTGCGCGCTTCTACACCCCCCCTCCCCAGCCTGGACAAGAGGGACCCCACGACCAGGACTCCCGAGCGGAGCCGCATCCGACAAGTAGCGCAAAGCCCAAGAGCAGGATCCCTGGCGGTGGAACAAACTGGCCTGGCGGTTTGGAGGCGGCGGGTTTTTTCAGGGCCCGGCTTCTCCCCCTTCCCGGCCGGGTCGCAATGGAAGAACTTACGGCGTTTGTGTCCAAATCTTTTGACCAGAAAAGCAAAGAGAGCAGCGGTGGTGGAGGCGGTGGAGGCGGTGGAGGCGGTGGAGGCGGTGGCGGCCACAAGAAGGAGTCCATTACGTACCGGGAAGTTTTGGAGAGCGGGCTGGCGCGGACTCGGGAGCTGGGCGGCTCCGATGCCACTGGCCTGCAGGAGCTGGCCGAGGGCGGCCCCCACTGCCCGGTCCACCTTTTCAAAGAGCCTGGGGAGAGCGACAAGGACAAGCTCAAGGACTTCAACCACGCCAACAGGACCTCGGAAGGTAAAGAGGAATCTGTCACCCCCTGCCGTCTTGGGCCGTCCCCTGCTTCCTCCGGGTTCCGCTTTGACGAAACTGTCGGATATAGATGGGGATGAGGGGGGTGGTAATAACAAGAGTAGAGGTGATGGTGGTGGTGATAATAGCAGCTGAAACAGCAGCAGCGAAGAGCATTCAGATAGGAAAATGAATCTCAAACTTCAGCAGTCCCGGGTCCTCTTTCCTTTCTTTAGGTGAATTTAAACAATAGAAGGAAAGAGCTTTCTTCGTCGGCTACCACGCGGCCCATTTTCCTTTGCGGCCAACTTAAAGTCGGAGCATTAGGCAGAATTGGTTCTGGGGCTAATCTCGGCGGAATAGCTAGAATTATTTTAGTTAGGAAATGTGGGAAGCTTTGGGTGTGTGTGTGTGTGTGTGTGTGTGTGTGTGGACCTTTGGGGTGGGGAAGAGCTAATAAGCTCAAGATGAATTGGCCGGAGGCTTGTCAGGCAAAGGGAATAAGAATCCCCTCGCTTAGGATATTCTGCAAACCTTTTTTGTTGGGGGGTGGGGATGGATGGGGATGGTGTCCAAGCCTTTCACCTGAATACTGTACTGCTTTTGGTTCTGGCCTTTAAGGGTCTGTCGAACTGAATAAGGATCCCCTTTTTTCAGTTAGGGCTACAGTATAGGACACTATAAATACGGTCCAGAGAAAAGGGGGGAAAAAAAACCAATATAGGAAGTTAAGCAAGCATTTCTTTGGCCACTTAGACGGAGTTTCATGCCACCTCTGCTCCTAGGCAAACCCGATAGAATTAAATCCAAGTATCTCTTAGGTTCAAAACGGAAGCACCGCTGGCTCCTGGCAGTTTCGGTGGTGACTGTTTTAGCTGAGCAGGGAAGGAAAGGATCACTCCTTTAAAAACTGTAATTCGTTAATCCAACTAACTGTATTTTAGGGGGTTCCTCTGTTCTAAATGGGTTCAGATATGCAGATGTTCAATCATTGTCAGAAAGACCCTTTCACTAAAGTCTCATGCAGTATCAGCTGGACTTGCCCTATGCTTTTTATTTATTAGATCTGTTGTGATCTAAAAAAGATTGGCTTTAGGATGAAGTGATAGTTTATATTCCCAGAGGTTACTGTAATGATTTTAAGATCGATCGATCTCTAGCTATCTGTTTATCAGTTCAAGAATGACTGAATATAAAGTTATAACGATTATCCAGGATACTGAGGCGCTAATAAACCCAAAGCACCCGTATTATTTAGAAAACACTGTAAAGATTAAATAGTTTTACAACATGCATGTGTGCATAACCCCCCAAAATGCATGAATCCATATAGTCTGTATAGTCTATCTATCTATCTATCTATCTATCTATCTATCTATCTATCTATCTATCTATCTATCTATCTATCTATCTATCTATCTATCTATCTATCTATCTATCTATCTATCTATCTATCTATCTATCTATCTATCTAGCTAGCTAGCTAGCTAGCTAGCTAGCTAGCTAGCTAGCTAGCTAATCTTTATATAGAAAAATGATTTTCTAATGTTTACCAAACGTGCTGTTTATCCACAATATCCAAATCTCCCCTATCCAGCGGCATAATAAACATCGTGGATAAAACACCCAAAATGTGCTTGTAAGGAAGGGCAGATGTGTGGAAAATGGGGACTTGACGGGTTTAAAAAGAACCGAGTATTCGGGACCATAGTTGCTTAGATTTCTATAGCTTTGATCTGGTGGTGTAAAAAAATATCTAACTACACTCTCTAATTCGATACTATGGGCTCTCCCCCCCCCCCCCCGCCGCCGCCGCTTTTATGCTCCTTGGGAGACTTGGACTGGGAATTCACGTAGGCTAAAGCTCTAAAAAATCTCCGCTACAATTTTCTTGGGCTGCAACAGTTAAATCCTCTTCGAAATGACTTTTCAGTGTGTCTCCTAAAATGAATAATCTCCGAATTTTAACTTTACAGTATAGTGAACTGATTTCATTGAGTAGGGGGGCGGAAGTTAAAGGAAATGAGCAGCCGGTTTCCATTGCAGCCATTTTTTAAGGGTGCAATTATGAAAATCCATCTTTAAGGAACACATCTTTTGTGCCAGCTAAAAGAGAAATTCGGGAGCTTCTTTTGCTGCATGTGCCAAGAGAAAACTTTTGCTAGAAAAGGGAGCCAACAGGGCTCAATCATGCTCCTTTTCTAAAAATGGTGATTTTTGAACCTGAGAACCTAATCCTGAGCTTTCCAGAGCAGCCCCTCTGGAAGTCCCTCTCCTTATGCCTTCGGAGACCGCTGCTTTCTCCAAGACAGAACCAGGGCAGAGGGCTCCATTCCACCAGCCACCTTTCATACTCCTGTCCCGAACCTGCCCCATTCCTCCTTGGCCGGGCCTTACAGGGTGCCCTCTTGCCAACAACAGAGCCTTGGGTGATTACTTTTCTTTCTAGCTTGCCACTTTATGCCCACACATTTTTCTTTCTTCCCGAATTTGGAAAAAAGGACTCTCTCCTCTCTCCTCCCCGATCGGGCTAAAATTCTCCTGTGCCCTTCTCTGTTCCTCCTACGGTTAGTGGTCCTCCACAAGCTCCTTGAGGTCGGGTGGGCTATGCGTGTGCTGGTGGTACCATGGTACTCATGGTAGCAAGCCCTTTGATGTCTAGCGAGGATTCTTTCTCATAGCCAATAGCTCTGGAGAGGGGACACAAGTAGAGTGAAATCCTTGGAATCTGTAAACATTTCTCAAATATTTAAACGAATCTCTCTCTCCCCCCCCCCCCGCCTTCCAGGTTTCAAGCATATAAGAGCAAGTTAAGGACATTTCCCACCACCTCTTCGTGAATGAAGACGTGGTCCGCCCTTCATTTTATGTTCTTTTAACATCCCCCCTCCCAAGTCTCGCTTAAGCTGACGGTATGGAACAGCTTTTAACTCTGATCCGAAGGTCTGTCCATCCCTAAGCTTTTGCTGAGCCTCTGCTAGCCCATTTCTCTTATCTAGCAGAACTGGACCGGTCTTAACACAAAACCAAGCCTAAGAACACTTAGTACTTGGATAAGACACCATCTCTGTCTGTAGACTAAACGAGAAAGTTGAAAACTTTCTGCAGACCACTTCCACATGTTTGCTAAGAATACTATTACATGGACCTGTCTATAAAGTTAATAGGCAACAATCTCATGTATGTATGGAGAAAATGCACCTCTTATAATAAAGGATGGGGCTTAAATTGATTTCTTGTTACCAGTTCCCTGAATTGTTTACAGTATCATGAAGTGTTTACAGTATCATGAAGTGTTTACAGTATCATGAAGTGACTGTGTTCTGATTATCGAGATTTGAGTTAATTCTACATCGAATACCAGAGCTAACATTATAACACTTCGACTGGTGGAGTTGATTCAGTCTTTTGAATTGCCCACAAGAAAGAATTGGAAAAAGTAGCGACTTTTAAAACAGGCAGATGGCAAGGTTAAGGCATCCCTGTTGCCCAGGGAATCTGTCTGCAGACCACCATTAGGTCTCCTATCAAAGGAAAGAAATCCCACGAGACCCTGGAAGTATCTTTGCGAGAGAAGAAGTTTGCTTAAATCATCCCTTACACTCCTTAACAAATATTGACCGAACCCTATCTGAGTTACTCTCTCGTCTTTTCTTATACTGGGCTCGCGGGGTCAATAGCCTGTTCGATTAGTTAGGAAAATTTCTCCCCCTTTGGAAGAGGCTTCCGATATCCAGCTCTGATATTTTTCCTTTCTCCTTCTCTTCGTCTCCCCACCCTAGGGATCTATGAATGCAAAGACAAGAGGGAGGAGGTGAAATCCGAGGACGAGGACGGTCAAACTAAATTGAAACAGCGGAGAAGCAGAACGAATTTCACCCTGGAACAGCTGAACGAGCTGGAGAGGCTATTCGACGAGACGCACTATCCGGATGCCTTCATGAGGGAGGAGCTGAGCCAAAGGCTTGGGCTGTCTGAAGCTAGGGTGCAGGTAAGGAGGAAGAGAGATCGTCCGTCCTCTGTTCTGGACATTTAGTTCAGAGACTGGTTTCCTTATCGAACAATATCAGGTAAACGCGTCCTGGAAGCTGGGGAGAGGATTGTAGCCTGGACTACTGTGGTCGGTTGCTTGCCCCCTCGCAGCCTTTCGTTTCCACCGAACGCTCGGCCTCTCTTGATCCCACTTCCAACCAATCAGCTGCTTGATTTAATAGATCCAGCCAGGAGCGAAGAACCTTTCGCTTTTTTCTTTTGTTTTTGTTGCTCTCTGTGGTGAGGCGGGGACAACGGCTATGGAAAAAGCTGGGTGCTTTGGGAGTAGATAATCCAGAGCGGGGGGAGGGATGTGCCTCTGTTTGACTTGCATAACAAGAGCATGAATTCATAGGGCCCCATCTGCTCTTCTCTCCCTGATGCCCCTTAAAATATAACGTCTCTAAATCCTTAAGAATAGGTTTGAATTATGTACTGATAATTCGCCAAGGCACCTGTGACCTGTGTGCATCTCTATATCTCCTATCATCTTCTCCCTATCTCTTTCCACCCATCCATCCATCTCTGGGGTTGCCATATTAGGGCGGCAAAAAGATACAAATACTTGTAATCACTGGTTGAGTGTGTTTGAATGTTAGTAGTTTGGGTTGGTAGTTGGGCTGTTGGTTTGCTCTCCGAGCTTGGCGATTTGGCTGCAAATGTTTCCTCTGTCAGAGCACAACTCAAAGCGCACTGAAGGCGCCCCCCCCCAATGGAGATGAAACGTTTGCAGCCAAATCGCCAAGCTCGGAGATCAAACCAACAGCCCAACTTGTAATCACTTACTAGTAATTAGACCTACTAGCTATCTGAACTTCAGTTCTTCAAACTGTTAAGCCTAGGGTTTTATGTAAAAGCTACTGGCCACCTTCGATGAACAAATGGACTCCAAAGCTAAAGTAATGTCAGTATTTCTAACAGTGTTGCATTAACAATGATACTTAATATCGGTCAGATATTAAGTAAGGAAAGGGATTTTGATAAAATCATCTTGTGGGATTATAGCACAAGGTTTTAAAGTCAAAAACAGGTGAAGAAAATTTACGCCAGGGAGTTTACCGTTCTTTCACAAAACCGATTTTCCTTGCTTATTTTATGAGATGAGGGAGAAAGACACCCTTAGGAGAATCTCAACGGGATGCTTTGATTTCAGACTCAGACTTAGTTTCCATCAGATCGACTTCCTCCTGGATTTCATATTATTGAGTATGTTCTAAACTAATAGCCAGAGTTAGATCTCTAGAGACCAGCATGTACTCCTGGGGAAACAAGATTGTTGTTTAGATTGTAATAAATAACCGTTTCGTTGTAATTTCCCCCCTCCAAATAATTGATACTTGTTCTTTTTCTTTTTTATGACAAGTAATGGGAATATTTCATATACATTTGCCGATTTTGGAAAAGAAACAGGGAAAATGACCAAGAAGGTTGCAGTGATTTCAGTTCTCTCGCTTCCCCCCCCCCCATATAATCGGCTACAATAAATGAATTAAGAGATTAAATTTTGGCTGAAGGCGACATAACTTTTACGTCATGTTTTCCAGTTCCTTACAAGAGAAAGGTTCCTGTAGAGGGCTTTGATATAAAGTTTCCATTAAAATAAATTACTTGTAGCATTTCTCTAAAAATAAATTACTTGTAATTGAATTCTGCACTCCTTTAAAACAGTTTATTACTGGGGTTAGTCCAGCACCCTAACAGGATATTCATAGTTACAGGAAAATTGGCGTTCCAGGTGTTTGCAGGTTTTTGAAATAGTTCTCCGCTCCCCTTAACCGTTCCCCTCCTCCAGGCAAAACTGACCACTCTTTCACACGAAACCCATAAAGGGCATATACCCCGAAAGAGATCAGCCTGATAGAAAAGAAAGAAATATTTAAAAAAGAACGGGCCGCCGAGAAAACCGACAGCCCTTAATTAAAGCACGAACAAGGTTTGATGTGCCTGATAGGAGTAGATCAAGATCTTATTCTTGTTTGGTAAAAGGAAGGAACGGAAGAGACTAGGCAGACCCCCACCCCCTCTTCCATTCCAAAACAGATATTTTAGTACTTCCAGAATTCTCTTCTAATCCCAGTCAATAGCGCCTGTCCCTTGTTGTTAAAGGATCTAGTTTCAATTTAGTGTGGAAATCTTCTGCAAATAAATTGGAGCTCCTACGGTAGCTACTCCTTATTAACCTTTTATTTTTAGTGTTGTACCAGCAACTCATATCGCCCAGCTGTCAGTGTTATAATTGAAAGTTATGAGACCGTAGTGAAGGGTAGGCAGTAATTCAATTACGAGCAAATATCTTTGGGTTTTATGGCGCAAGGCTAAATTAAATGTCATTATTCACTGTCTCTAATGGAAATCAAAAGGAAATCAGATTAAGGCATTTGTGAAAGAAATCACTGAGTGATCCTTAATGAAGAAATAACTGTCCAAAACACTGTCCTGCGCTTTACTTAGCATATTCATGACTAGTTGGAATTGATCGGGAATCACGCCCGGGCTGATTTATGAAGACTCTGCGCTTGGGCTAATTCATCACTTCCACGTCTCCTCCTCACTTTCCCCTTCGCCTCTTCCGGAGCTGAAAAGGGAAGGGGCGTTCTGCCATGTTGAGCTGGCAGAGCCATTGGGCTTAAGTAGACGGGACCGAGGGCAAGAGCGGGGCTCACGGCCAGAGAGTCAGAGAGGTTTAGTAAGGTATCAAGAAGGTTTCGGTAAGAAGACCTGTCTGTCTATAGATCCGCACTTAGCAGAGGATCCACCTTTGTGAACGGTGTCAGGCTTCTTACCCGAAGCAGAGAAAATTAGGTTGCTCTTGGGTGCAGAAAAAGGAAGGACCCGCGTCATTTCACGTCAAACCTCTAGAATTTAGCTACTTTTTCTCCTCGTCCTAGGAAGCTAAAAGCTCCTTTTCCCCAACGTCTTAAATGCATATCCGTAAACAAATTAGAGAGACTTTTTCATTAATTGCCGATTAATTGACCTGGCTTTATAAGATCAAGAATTTATCTTGGTGGATATTATCACTTATTTTTATGTCAAAGCTGTGGTTGATGGCGGTTATGGTTGGAGTTTTCATTTCAAGGGAGATTCGTTTTGCTCTGGGTCAAAACAAAATCCAGTTAAATCCGAAACTCTCCGCCTGAAATTGATTAAAGCTGTTAGTCTGAAGACACGCCTACGAGAAACCCAGTTGCCTTGAAATCAAGGCCATTGTTTCCCAATGGAGAGGGAGGAAGATAGTTTAGAGTCGACTGGGAATTTTATTTTGTTTGTTTTTATGCTGGGAAGAACATTTCGAGAACCTCTTAAGGAAAACAAGGGGTGCTGCTGCTGATTTTTAGGCAGAAAGAGTAGTGGAGAACCACGGAGAGAAAAAGAAAAGCTCCTGTTTAAAAAGTTTCAGAATCCCTCAAAAACGCTTTTTTATTAATTTTAATTTGGCTACTCGGTCGCATATTGGTGACTGAGGGTGGCGTGGGGAGAGGGAGAATATCCTACGTGCTGCAGTGTAAAGGCGGCCGATTCCTGTTTCAAAAAACCATTCCAGTAGCTCTGGATAATTAATGTCCTTGGAAGCCTTTCTTTGCACTAATTACTCCGTTGTAAATGGCCATCATTAAGGCTATTGAAGAAAGCTTGGAGGCGAAATGTGATGTAGGAAGTGCAGTTAGTATTAATTAAGCGTATGATCAACTTGGCAAGCCGAAAACCTCGGCAGGGGGCGGGGCAAAGGGCCACGGAATCAACTCTTAGATTTGATCTGTCTCCATCACAAGCAGTGGCTGGTAGGCTGGCTGGCTAGGGAAGCAAAGGGTGGGCTTTGCAGGAAGGCTGTATCTTTTCAAACAAGGTTTGAAACATTTCAAGCAGGGGGGGGATAAACTCCTTGGCTACTACTAGTAGGCCAGTGAGATGCAGTGTCAATCCAGCTTCACAAGAAGGCATTTCCAGAAGTAGGAAGGGCAGATTTTCTGGATTGCAGCAATTTTAAAGTAAAATACAATAAATCAGCTGGGAGGGCAGGATTTATATTAATCTGTTAAACCCAGATCTGTAAATGTTTTGATTGCCTGCTGGAAGAAATGCCTGTTTCAACAGCCAGAAATAATGTCAAAAAGACATATTTACATAGACTGATTATGGATTTAGCCTCATATCCTCAACCTAATTAAAACAGAAGTTTAAAAGCACAACTGAAAATCAGCCAAACTTGGTACTTTCCCTAGTGCCTTGTAGTGACTTGTGTTTTAATCACAACCAGAATTGCATCTTCCCTAACTACAACATTCATGGATGGTGCAAAGGCCAGGGGTGTCAAACTGCCGGCCCTCAGGCGGATGCATCACACTGACTACTTGGATGTGTTTATGTTCTGTAATGGTATGGACATGCTTCATCTTTGCCTTCTTCTGAGATTGTAACTTCCTACTGCACTCAGATTTCCAATGCTCTCCCTTCTAAATACAGTAGCTAACTAAGTATAACTTGGTTTAGCTTTTTCCTGATCAGCCAAGGTTATCTAGATGCTGCCACCTAGCTGTAAGTATATGTGTGGGAATCCCAAAAACTTAGTTGAGAAAAACATGATTCCATTGAATCCTAGCTAAGCATGTTCAAAGAAGATAACTAAAGTGTTGCAATTTGAATTAGTTTTCAGGAAGGTGGATGTGACACTTAGAACTGAATTCACACTTCATAACTGGAAGACTTGCAATCTCAAATTTCTTCAGATTTTTTTGTCTCTAAGTCAGTGTTGACTCCTGGCAACTGTCTGGACAAATCCCTGCAGTTTTCTTAGCAAAATTTTCCGGAGTGGTTTGCATTTGCCTTCTTCCAGGGACAGAATGGCTGGCCCAAGGTGACCCAGCTACTTTTACACCTAAAGTGGGTTTAGGATTCATGGTCTCTCACTTTCTAGCCAGGTGTTTTAACCACTACACCAAACTGCCTCTCAAAAAATAAGCCCTTCAAATTGCCAGACAAGTCCCTCCATGTATTTAGGAAGAAGATTCACATCTCAAAAAGTACCCTGGCCTTTATAGAAACCTTTCCTAACCTGGTGCCCATTAAGATATGTAGGATCTCATCTTCCTTAATCAATCCTCAAACAACATGGCTATTTTGGTTAGGAATGTTTGGAGCGCAAAGCCGATCCAGCACATCTTGAAGTTCTAGACTGAAAGAGAATGCTTTATGGTAGCACTATTATTCCCATTTTTTTCATGTAATAGATGATTATAAAAGTTACTTTTCTAGAAGGACTTTCTAGGAATTGTTTTGAACTTGAGCACAGGTCTATTGGAATGCTATTTATTCTGCAGTTAGGTTCACTTCACCCAGAGTTTTATAGACCTAGCATAATTTAATTGTGGTCAAACTGGAATGTAAATCAGTGATTAGATAAGTTAAATACCCCAAATCATACAGAATGGTAGAAGTCCTATTAGAAGAGTGTGTTTAGCAATGACAATACTTGAAGGCATAATTCAGTTTTCTCAGTAGGAGGAATTGTGTCATGCTATTCTTTCCAGAATTCACTAGATGAATAAAATAACAGTTCCTATATAAGATGCTCAACCCTGAGGCCAAAGACACAATTTGCTTTGTCTTAAAAAAGAAAGCAGCAAATTGACAAAGATGTGTGTGTACCATCCATATGGTTAACATTATTATTTTGGGATACTGAAATGATAGGAAAACCGGGATTCTTAGGCAGTCCCATGCTACTCCAGGAAAATGAATAAGTTCTAAAATTTGGAACTACAAGAATAATGGTTTGCACTGTATTCTTGAAATCCAGACTGAGACATTTCAGGGTGTTTTCCCAGCTTGGAAATTTCCATAGAATGTTGAACTACAAATCCCAGCATGCACCACCCCAGAAAGGAATGTTGGGCTCCAGATTAGCAAGTTAAAAATACTTGAGCATAATTTTTGCTATATAATGAACTTTCCTTTTCAATTTCCATGATGCTTTAAGCTTGTAAACGTGGGCTCCCAGCATGTGCAAAGGCAGCTAGGATTGTCACACTATTGAAAGTGGTGGTTTGATTTGGAGAATCCAGCCATTGGGTTGGAAAGGCAGCTTGCTTTTCTTCTTAGGCCCTTCAGAGGCAGCAACCTCAGTGGGAATGGATCTGGTCTCCAAGCAGGTTTGTGTAGGTAAGCTCAAGAGAGGCTGCAAAGTGATTTTGAATTGGATTTTACCTCCTTGTAAGGAAACTTCTTATGGCTCTTAGGCACATTGAGGAAGACCTCTTTGCAGTGATCCAGGCACAGGATGGAGGTGTAACCTACTCTTTTTGCAGAAGAGGATACTGGTGATCTATTCATATCAGCAGCAGTGAGTCCAATCCCACTTTCCCCCACTTGTAGGCTATTATTTGGATTTCCCTTTCCGAAGGAGCTAAAACTATTTGCACCTGTAGCCCTTTCATGGAAAACTGTCTCAGGCCTTGTATCATTTTGATCCAATTACTTTAGTAATCATAGGGTTATTAAGACTCAGAATGCTAGTTAAGGGAGTGGGGAAGGCATACGCAGCCCTTTTTAGCATAGAACTGGGACAGTTAAGTAGGTGTGTGGATGCAAATAACTTTATGCAGTGAATGTCCTGCATCCTTCCAACTCTTACAAAAAAAAAATCACATCTGGATGATTTGAAGCACATCCCCTTAATTTGCATTATGCCGGCAGCTTTTCCCACTCAGATGCCATTCTGATATGTTGGACTATAACTTCCAACATTCCCAGTGACCCAGCCCTGGCTATTGTCATTTGCAGCTGAAGGGTGAAGCATTTTAACACATATGGAAAACAGAAGATTGGGAAAGGCAGATCCACAACTGAGTAAGGTGGGAAAAATGGAGGGGAGTCAAGATCCCATTAAATTTTAAAATTATAATCTGCTGAAATGTTGCTTGAACTCAGTGGGATTTAATTATGAGTAGAACCTCAAGGGATTGTATTATACCACTATTCTATTACCGATTTTTTTCTTGGCTTAATTTAGCCATGAAGAATAGGTTTTTATCCTGTGAGCTTTATTGTGTATGGCTTTTCTAAAAATCATCTCTTAATATCAAGCAAACAAACTGAAATGAAAAGATTCTCTGCTCAGGAACTTATTCTGAGTATTAGAACTGAACTAAAGTTACCTGAGACATTTGTCCTCACCTGCTCATCACAACCAACAACAATTTCAGATCTTCCTTCTCATAACAGCATTTCTGTAACCACATTTTTTTTCCAGCTTTCTAGCTTTTAAGAAAGTTTGGGGAGTCATAGGCTAATGTCCCTTAGCTCAAGGCTGCTGCTGATTGCTTTTATTACTGCCAGCATCTCTTCTCCTCTTGGCAGGTTTGGTTCCAGAACAGAAGAGCCAAATGCCGAAAACAGGAGAACCAGATGCATAAAGGTAGGTCTTGGAAGGACGTGGGGACAGGATCTGACCTTTCTGAAGACTCTTTCCTGACCCTATACCTTTGCTTGCAGGTGTGATCTTGGGGACAGCCAGCCATTTAGATGCCTGCCGAGTGGCCCCCTATGTGAACATGGGAGCCCTAAGGATGCCTTTCCAGCAGGTAGTTTATCTGAATTTTCATCTCCAGGCTGACCTATCTAGGATAGCTGTTAGGTTAGCATATGGACAGAGGGAGGGAAGAAATGTGCAATAGAAGGACATATTCTGTACATTTGTACACAGAAGGGTTTTTATTACCAATAGTTCCTGGTGCCTTGGCTCTCTGGCCTTGAAAATAGATTTCCAAAAGGTTTTTAGCAGAGTAGGTTTATTTAAAAGTCGTCCCCTCAATATTCTGTAGAATTCTAATAAGTGGGCTTAAATCTTTGCCATACTCTTGTAACATAGTCGCTCTGTGAATGAGATGGGCGGTCTCTAAATTTGACATATAAATAAATAAGAATAAAATAAAATAAAACTATATACCTATTGATTGTGACCAGCATCTCAGTTTGATTCCAAAATACTTGCTAATAGGTAAAACTCCAGCCAAAAGAAGATGTTGCTGAAGTGCATTGGTTGAATTTCAGCTTTTTGAGCACTTTGAAAAGGCACACATCCAAAACAAGTTATTGCAATGAATGCAAAGTGAGAAATCTTTCCAGCTGTGTGGGATACATCCTTAGCATGTAGTCTGAGCGAGTAGAAAATAGGATTTGGTTATTTTCTTTCCTTCCAAATCCACACACTATATTTCTTCAGTAGGGCTGGTTTTCTCTAGATATGAAGAATAAGCAGCTTTGAGTCTGGTTAGTACTTAAATTGGAGAACTCCAGGAAATACAAGGATTAGGAAGTTGAAATTGAAAAACAAAATCCAGAAAAAGGAAATGGCAAACTACAGGGGTAGGATGTACTGGTGAAATCAAGCTCAGTCAAATTCAACTCAAAGGAAACTTTTTTACATGATGTACAATGGATCTTTAGCAGAGCTAAATTCTTGTAGCATCAAAGCTTAGTGGAATAGCCTGTTATATTCTGCTGGTTGGAAAGGAAGCACACTGTGAGTTGCTGATTGGCTAATCAGTAGTTAGCAGCCTGTGTTTTGTGCTCCTAGTCTGAAAATTTAGGCAGCCCCCCCCCTTCTGTGAAATCTGTCAATGACTGAAGGCTACATTGTACACATACATATCTCTGTGCGGGAAATAGAACAAAGTTGATAGATTAATCAGGAATTTCTGGTTACTTCCCAGAATTCAAAGGTGCTATAAAGCCATTTAAAATGTAGAACAAGATAAGGGCAGCATAACACAGGGGAAGCAATGGAGGATTTTTGTGTCAATAATAACTGAGAGGAAAGGACTTTAACATAGTGTTGTACTACCCTATCACAGGATGTTATCTATATCTTTAATACTTTCACAATTATTACAGATGTAGCCTCTGTTAAGGTTGAACATGGAACAACTTGAATTCAAATAGCACAAAGAAGGCAGTTTTGCTCATGACAAGGGAAAATAAAACTAATGGGGACAGAGGCAGCTATATTAGCATTTGAACATGGATCCTGTATTTTTGAGTGCTAACGTTTTTCCTTCCCATCCCCTTCTACTATTTTTCTTCTTAATGTCAATATTTTCTAGGTTAGATCACTATCTAAAATCAAGTATATTCATAACATTAAAAAAAAGCTTATGTGTAACATTGCTATTGAGTTTATTTTTTGCATAAGATTTTGTTGTATGTTAAAAAGCCTAAGTAATAACATCAGTTCTGCTAAGCTTCTTTTGAAGCTATTATTTAACTTCTTTTTTAAAATTAAAAAAGTACCATCATTTTTGGCTTTTTGGAGTAAGGAATTTAGTGGGTGAATGAAATAAGCCTATCTGTGTTTTTCCTATTTTAATTCATCAGAGGAGTTGTGGTAAAAAATTTTAGTCTTCCTCTTTTTTCCAAGAAACATTTTTTATTAGCTATTTTGTAAAAGTCTTGCAGGGAAAAGTGGCAGTCTGAATAAGCTGTTATGGAACCATTGTCCAGCTTTACTTGTGAATTTTTTTGTGGAATTTTAGGACTGTCTCTAGACTTCCTTGCATGGTATTTATAATTTTTATATTTTCATATCAGATCCTATATCATTTCTCTTTTGAGAGAAAACCTATTAAAGGGAGAATGAAGGAATGTGCTTTAGTGGAATGCATGTGATCGATACGTTTTTATATATAATGGTAGAAAGCTAAGAGAATTTGGAGTCAACATTGTAAAGAAGAGCCACATTGATCACGGAAAATTAGAGCAGAAGGTTGCATAGGAGGCATAGAGAGGCCAAATGACTCTAAAGCAGCATGTAATTAGTCCTTCATTTTCCCTGATCACATTTTGGGTGCTTGGCAACTGACCTCCATTTACGGCTTTTTGCAGGATCCCATAGTCATGTCACTGCAATTTATGACTGGCATCTACTGGTTTTCATAAAAAATTCCATTGTGGACAATGGGTTTGCTTAACAATCCTGTTGATTTGCTTAAGGACTGACACAAAAAAAATGTTCTAAAATTGGTTTGGTCACTTGATGACTGCTTAACCAGCATGACCTACGACTGTAGTTCTAGATTCAGTGATGTTTATAAATCAAGAACTACCTATACCGTACTTTTATCAAGGTCATATTCCTTATCCTCTACATTTTTATTCCCCAAATAAACTCCTAGGTAAATAAACCTGGTTTTGGCACATGTGATAGCTAAGCAGTGCAATACAAATTCCAGAAAGAAGAATTTGCCTGAAGGAAAATAAGACCAGAATCAAAATTAAAAGGGAATGAGGGGAAAAAGCAGGGGGAGGAGAGGAGAAGAAATATATAGTAGATAACTACACAGGAAAAAAGAAAGAAAAATAAATGATGTAAGCAGAAATGACTGCCAGATACTGGACCTTTGGAGCAAACCAAAGGAATGCAGGGATTGGAATATTCAGCAGGAGGGAGACTGTGGAAAAAGGAGACTGTTACTGATTAAAAAATAAAATGAAACTCCAACTCAGCATAGTATCTTGTATTTTAGATTTTAGGGGGCAAAATAGGGTAATAGAATTGAGATGAAAAAGTCTTGCAGTCAGCATGAAAAGGAAATGTTGCAGGTTAAAGCTGAAATACATTTTTACTCCTAAGGACTGTGACTGTGATTTTCCAGGAGAAGATCTCCCCATTTTTGTGTCAGTTGCTGAAGGGTAGAATTTGAGAGCAGAAGACTTTGTGAAATTCATTTCCAGTTTCACTAAAGAAGGTCCAATGAGTTCCACAATAATTTTCCTGAAGAACAAGTTGTTCCATATACAGCTTTTAAACAAACTGTATAAAGATGTTAGTTAAAGGACCTGATTTTTTTTCAGGAATATGTTTAGACTTTTATACCAAAAGCCAGAGAACTCTTGTGGAGTTTTGCCCCTAGTGCCTTGTATACTGTATATCACTCAACTCTTTATATTCTATCCTCCAGTGCTTGGTGTTGATTGCCCTACTATATCCCAAGAGATCCAATATTACCTATAGGGATCATCCACCTGAGAAATCCTCCATTAGATGTGGTCACCAGCCATCCATAGCCTTGTTAGAGCAGCTGAAAATCACAATTCTATGTATCTTGCTGTTCTGAACCATTCCATTTTGATATGTTCATCATTCTCTGTTACAGCATTTGTTTTCAACTGCAGGAATATCTGTTGTACTGTGAGTCTACTATCTCTTTAGCCTGTCCTTGGTATGAAAACAATAAACTTATTTTGGACTGCAAGAAACTTAGGAATAGTATGAGTTAAATTGCCTGTGAAATAGGATATAAATATTTTTCAGGAGAACAGTAGAGTTGGTACATTTCTAAAGGAATGTAGATGGCCTGAGATTAACAATCCAGAGAAAAGGATGGAATTAATACATGTGGACTAATTTTACTTCCCATGAGTTAAAGATTAAAAATAAAAGAAAGGAGGCCAAAGTCAGTAATTGGAAGTACTAAATAAAGAGGAGTTTCTATTCAAATTTGGCAGAGTTATTTTTAGTCCACTCTGAAAAAACTGTATACAAGAAAGAAACCTGTTTTGGTCTGATGAGCTTGATTATAAATTAAGAGAGCCTGTGAGTTTGAGTTATGGTAAGAAAATCTTTTTTTGACAATGGTAGACCATGATGCTTCCTTGGCTGTTATAAAATTAGAACTAATGGATGGAATAAATATTATTCCTCACCAATATGTGGGCTTGGAAGCAAAGATCCTTATTAATTACCAGTGACCAGAGTGTTAATAAAGTAGATGTATTATGATTTGAAATAGGTGCAATGGAACATTAATTCATGTCCTTTATTAGAGAAAGGGTTAATATGGTCCTGATATTCAGGTTCATGTTTGTACTAGAAGTATCCCTTGCCATCACTCAGAAGAAAGGGCTGTAAAGAGTGTGGAAGGGGAAACGCATAATAGCAGAAGAGGCAGCAGGAAGCATTGGGGACAACACTGTATAAACACAAGTCTCTGTAAAAGAAGTAATAGAAGAGTGAAGAAGTTTGGAGAAGATAGAAGAGAATGCAGAAGAGCTGCACTTTTGGCTGTTGAAAAGCATGAAGATGCAATAGCAGAAAATTAAGGAGAGACATTTGTAAAAGCTTCAGATGTAGTACTAGAAAAAAGGTCACTGGAGACAGCTGTTAAGAGGTGTAATGACAGGCAAAGCAGGAAAAACAGCTACAGCAACTTTTTCTCAGAAAAAGGAAAAATATTATAAAAGTAATGGATTTGCAAAAATATTGCATAAATCCTTGGACTCAAGGTAGCACTGTGGTTAGAATGCAGTATTGCAAGCTGACATTGTTCATTGCCAGCAGTTCGATCCTGACCAGCTCAAGATTGACTCAGCACTCCATCCTTCTGAGGTCAGTAAAATGAGGACCCAGATTGTTGGGGGCAACATGCTGACATTTGTAAACCACTCAGAGAGTGCTATAAAGCACTATGGAGCAGTATATAAGTCTAAGTGCTAATGCTATGCAAGAAAAACAACAAAATAAATTCTTACTCCAATGATACTGAGCGGTCACCTGAAATAGAAACTGAAAAACAGCGTTGAGGTTGCTAGTAACATATAAAAAGAGGAAGAAATTAATGGTGAAAAGGTAGAGAAATCAGTGGAACTCAACAATTGAAGGAGGATTCAAATGAATCTGAAAGCAAGTCTGGTGCTGGATGTTTTAGCTGTTCACAGTGGACGGAAAGTGATATAATTTCAACTATTCCTATTGAGCAAAGAGTTGCTGGAGTTGCAGACATTTCCCATCTTATTAGGAAAAGAGGAAATCAAAGGAAGAAATTTAACACATACCAAAAATCAGTAAACCAGTCTAAACCAGAACTGGATATCATTTGTGGAAGTAAGGTCGCAAAGATGATAAAGTAAAAAAGAAATACTGTTAGGAATAGCACTTAGCACTTAGACGTATATACCGCTTCACTCTCTAAGCAGTTTACAGAGTCAGCATATTGTCCCCAACAATCTGGGTCCTCATTTTTTCGACCTTGGAAGGATGGAAGGCTGAGTCAACCTTGAGTCAGTGAGAATTGAACTGCAGAACTGCTGGCAGCCAGTAATCAGCAGAAGTAGCCTGCAGTACTACATTCTAACCACTACACCACCATGGCTCATGGTTTTAATAACAGAAAATACATAATTGAAAAGAAAAAAAATGAGATTGTAGATATTTTATAAAGACAGTAAGGGGAAAAAAGAATTGTTTTATATATTTAAAGTGAAGTAAGTTCTTATGTTTAAATCCTGTGTCCCAGAATGATAACAATGTTAAGCTGGAAGAGAAGGAAAGATGTCTTGAAATGATCGATGCTTGCTTTTACTTCAATGTAAAGATGCTTCTTTATAGGAAAAAGAGGCAGAGGCTAAGAAGAGGCTAAGAATCTGGGGAGAATGTAGAACAGATTAGAGAATGAAAACACAGAAAGGAAAGGGACACAATCAATATATTAAAAGAAACAGAAAAAGAAAGCGCTCTTGTGATAAACAACCCATAAATACCCCACTTCTAAATATTCTATATCTCATCCTGGCTGTCTTTATGAAATTATTATTAAAGTTTTTATTGTTTAAAAAACCCAACATGCTATACCTGAGGCATCATGCTTCCATTAAGTGAGGCAAGGAGAGATTTTGAATTGAGGTCAAATTCATCATTATATTATTTCTGCTGAAGTAAACCTAGTTTTATCATAAGATGCACACTATCTTTTGACTGGTAAATCCTTAAGAATCTGTCCAACCACAACAAAGGCCAGACCCTGGGCAGGAGTGTGGCATGGGGGAGGGAATAGGAGGGACGAGAGGTTCTATCTGGAAAAGCTAGTTCGCAATAGTTCCAGAAAAGCACTCTCTTAGTAACTAATATAAATAGGTTAATGCAGCAAGAAAGAGAATGCTGTCAGTTTGAGTGGTATATTCACACAGTGGCCTTACGTAATGGTAGATTAAATTCTGGGTTATAAGAAAACATAAATGCATCTTGATTATGAGTTTTTTATTTTTAATCTGTGAGTACCTGCTTATCTATTTTTGAATATTAGTGTTAAAAACAAAAGGGAAACCAAAAAGACTAATAGCGTTACTGTGGTAGGGTGTTGGTTTACGAATATCCTGGCATCCTGGCAAAAAATGTGGCATTTTTTTTGTCTGTAGACCATGCTCCATTTTTAAAAGACCTGGATTGCAGCTGTGATACCTGGGGGAGGGTGGAGTTAAACCTTTCAGCCTGTTTTGTAGGAGTGGTTTAAGGGACAAGATTTAACATACCCGTTTTGCTCTTTATTTTATGGAAAATCACTATAAACACCATCAAAATTAGTATGATCTTGGGGCTGTCTCACATCCAATTAAGAGTTATAGGATAGTCTACCTACCTGTAAATTACCACAATTTGACAGGAAGAAACACTTATTTTGTCAAAACCATACCTAGCAACTCTTGATTTTTAAAGCAGAAATGGAAAACTTTTTTCAATAAAGGGCTCTTGAAATATTGGAAGATGACCTGAGTTTATGATGGGTGGAGCCAGATTTTAATAGAAGACGGATCTAGATGAAGGAGAGGATGAACCCATTTTTTAGTGTGAGTGAATCTTGCATCATTACTTCCCTCTGCATCTTTTTGTGCTACCCAATCCCATCTCTGTCTTCCTTTCTCCTTCAAGCACTTCAAGCTGAAGAGTTAACTATTTCCAAAGTGCAAGAATGGATCAATAGGAATTACTTAGATGATACTAAGTATCACATGAAGTTAATTAAAATGTTGTAGTGTTCTTACTCAGCCATAGATTTTTTTTCTCAACTATTTATTTCATACTTGTGTGCCCCAGACAGGTAAATGGTAAATACTCAACCTTCAAAGAATTACAATTACTTAAATAAGTAGTCATTTACAAAGCCACAGAGTAATGCCTGGTAAAGAGTAAGGGAGATGACCTTGACAAAAATGTGCAAGAACCATTACCTAGACAAAGAGAGCTGAAAGAGGGTGGAAGCCCTGAGAAGCAAGACCAAGCATATGCCACTCTGATTCACTGGGGCATGAAAAAGAGGGGGATGACATAAACAAACTTGCAATATTCTATTATCATGCCCATCTCAATAAAGTATAGTCTCCTTGTGGAATTGTTTTCTTGGTCTGGTAGGGCTGACACGCCCATTTGTCCTACTGGAATATCTGTTGGAGTATCTCCTGTTAATCTATTTTCTTTATGGTTCTTTTATTTCCCCTCCAGGTCCAAGCTCAGTTGCAGTTGGAGGGGGTCACCCATGCTCACCCTCACCTCCATCCTCACCTAGCTGCTCATGCCCCTTATTTGATGTTTCCTCCCCCTCCCTTTGGACTCCCAATCGCCTCCTTGGCTGATTCTGCCTCTGCAGCTGCAGTTGTGGCTGCTGCCGCCAAGAGCAACAGCAAGAATTCCAGTATCGCTGACTTGAGGCTCAAGGCCCGGAAACATGCTGAGGCCCTGGGGCTTTGACATTTCCTTTCTGGAAGCAGTTTCATTGCTAGGATGGACAATAATTTCATTTTCTCCAGCTGTCATCCATGCTTGGCTGAGACAAGGACAAGTGCTAGATTTTGAAAAGCTTGGGAGTCCTTATAGATGCACAATCAGCACTGGCCTGCTTTTTCTTCCTTTCTTCTTTCTCTTCTTCTTCATCTTCCTATTTTGTTCCAAGATGTAAGAAGTGATTCAGTTGATCTGAGGACTGAAGGACCCACCTGTCTACCTTTTTGATTTTGGCCAAGTGCTTAGTGCTGCTAATTGCAGTCAAACTTTTTCACTCCCACCAGATGCACACTGGGTCTGAATTTTAGGTAAAAATAACAACTTTACAGAAGAAAAATAAACAAGAATACTTTGGAGGGATAATTCTCCAAATTATGTGGCATCTTTGAATGCTGGAACAACTGGTGCTTGACCATGGCCAAAGTGATCATTGTGTCAGCCTAAAACTGTTCACTGCTATCAGTTTTGAAAGTTGTGCATGTACCTAACATTTAACACCATTTGGAAATCACAGACTCTACTGAAACAAAACCCAAGCTTGAAACAATTCCAGGGGCTGGTCTCCATTACCATGACATTTCTCCTTAGTTGCCAAGTATACTCTAGCTATTTCATAAATTGCTCATGAACTAAGGAGCTGCTTTTGCAAAAGTGGCTTAAATTTAAAACATGGAATTTCAAATCACAGATAAGGTAGTTTAATCTGGACATAGCTGTATATTTTACAAGGAGCTGCAACAACACAAAAGTTTGAAAGACAAAATTACACAAAAATCAGAGGTGATCTAAGCAATGGAAACAATGATAATGAACAGAATAATAATTAACCATCTGAACAAGCAGATATGCTTGTAAGACAAGGACAGGTTGACTTCCTTGCTTTGCTTTCCAGATGTTTGGATTTCTCAGAAAAAAAATCTCCTTGGCTTGCTCTTGAGAGATTGATTCAGCTATCAAAGATGGACATGCAGTTTTAAAAGCATAATACTGATGCAGTGTTATATTTAGTGAAATGCAATTGAGTGCAGTAAAGTGCAATACTGTAAATATTTTAGATTAAAAGTGAAAAATAGCAACACATTCTTATTCTGTTGGTAACCTACTCTATAGAAACTGTTACCTGGTCCTTGGTGCTCAGACTTAAGAATGATCATTTATTGCCAAAATTAGATAGTCTGGTTTTTCTATGGTATGGTGAAGAAATATGAATTGCTTATATAAAGGGAATTGCCATTATTTTGATCTGGTTTATGTCCCATATTTCTGGGAACTAAGCTCAACTGCCTGTTTTAATTATTATAATTTTAATTAATGTTATTATCTGGCAAATTGTTTTAAAATAAGGAGCAACAATCAAGAAAATGTCATATATAGGTGGATAAATTCAGCGTGTGAATTGTATAAATGCATAGAAATAAATCCAGTTTTAGGCACATTAAATGCAACTTCATTGGAGTTTTCAAATGAGTAAAATCTGTAATATCCGTCATAGAGAAAAAGGGAAATCAACTGAAATTGTATTACCAAACTGGCTGGGATTATTATGCCTATGTTTCTCACTCGCATGTAAATTTCTTTAACCAACTCATTAATTTGGTGCATGATCTGGGGAGAAATATTCATCTACTTCTATAACTGTTTGCATTTGATACCAACATTTCACTGATGGAATCTTTGCTTCTCAACAGCATACAGTCATCCAATCTTTTGCCCTCAAATGTATTTGTTTTTTAAAGCAATTAGTAATTGAATATTTTGTTATTTTTTAATCAATTTATAAGATATATTTAATTTGTGAGTTCATATTTTCAAACTTTGCTCCTAATGTTGATATTTTCTATTGAACACTCACTCTTAACTGTTGGCATATTGCCTTTCACCATTCATTTATTTGGTGTTTACCTGACTTTCCTATGTCTTTGCAAAAGCCCCAGTACCTCTTTGTGCCAAGACTATAATAAAAGCATAACATTAAATATATCTACAGTCTTGCACACAGGTATACATAGGACTGCCACATTTGAGCTGTAAAAATCTGGATGCCGTTAGATGACAGTAAAGAGGCACAGAAAACTTTGTTGTCATCTAGTAACCTGGATTTGCAGCCTAGATATGGTATGCCCATATGTCATATAGAAATACTGTATGTATGGTTAATTGCAATTTTAAAGCTGGTAATAGAGAAGTCAGAAGTCATGACATTTTTTCTCTGTGAATTATAATGTAAGGCTTTAATGGAACTTTTCATGTAGCATGATGAAAACCCTTTCAAAATTATAATTCTTTGGATGCCTTGTATAAAGCAAAGTTAAACTCGTGGGAGTTGAAATCCAACTAACCTGTAGAGCACCAGGTTGAGGAAGACTTCTAGAGAGCTATGGAAACTATCAGCAAATGTTTTCTGCATGCAATGCCAATGTAAACTAGAGAAGTGTTTATGGTATGTAATTGTAGAACAACAGCAAGATGGCAGATATTTCTCCATTCTGAATACAGATGGAATTAATTAATTTCAGTGCAATCAATCATTCCCCTTTATCATAAAGAACTAATCTACTTCAGTGCATAGTTTCATGGGAGATTCACCATCTCTGCCTATTATATTGATTTGCTCTAGTTCATGCTCAATTCACTTAAAGTGGAACCGAATTCACCCTAGGATAGGAATAATGGAAATTATATTTATGGAAAGTTTGATTAATACTATCTTGTTATGAACCTGTTTTCAATAATAATTATCTCTCATAATTTGATTCTGGTTTTAGAACTGAATCTCCTCTAAATCAATTCAAGAACCATTGGTAAATTTATGGGATTTTCAGATTATGTAATGGACTTCTATGGCTTCTATATAGCTTCAGATCAGATATTTTGGGAATATTTGCCAAAGTATAAAACGTGTGCTTAGCACAAGTGAAATGGACTTGTGCTTACTTGCTCTTTTGTGTCTTCAAAATCTCTTTGTATACATATGTTTTCTTAATAGGCAAATTCTTGGACACTGTAACTTCTTTGTAGCATAACTAGTCTTATAACACACTTACGTTTTGTTCGACCTATTAGATTTTGAAATATTTACTACATTTGATTGATCCCAAAGGAGTTTTTTCATGAAGCAACTGGACTTTCTTGTTTTTCTTTGAAGATGTTTCACTTCTCATCCAAGAAGCTTCGTCAGCTCTGACTGGATGGTAGGGAATGGAAGGATTAATACTCCTTGCAGCTGGTCATTTGCATTCTTTTAGAGAATCATTGAGGCCACCTGGAGGTTTATCTGTGTCAGGGTCAACTGAGTAGTTCAAATGGGTGTGGAGCCTTCTTGGTACTGCTGAAAGGACTGTTTTGTAGACTGGAGATAGATGATGTCATATCCCTCCCCCTGTGTTGAGAGAGGGCTGTTCAATTTTGACATAGATGGTCTCTTTGACTCCTCTTTCAAACCAGTGGTCCTCTCTGTCCAAAATGTGGACTTTTCTGTCTTCAAAAGAGTGGCCTTTGTCTTTTAAATGTAGATGGACTTCCGAATCTTGTCCTGATGGGTTTGTTCTCCTATGTTGTGCCATGTGTTTATGAAGTGGTTGTTTTGTTTCCCCAATGTACAGATCTGCACATGACTCACTGCACTGTACTGCATATACCACATTGCTCAGTTTGTGTCTGGGTGTTTTATCCTTGGGGTGGACAAGCTTCTGCCTTAGTGTATTTGTGGGTTTGGAGTATGTACATATGTTGCATTGGCTAAACGTCCTCCTGAGCTTTTCTGATATTCCTGCAATATATGGATATGAAGTTTACAAAAAACCCACACACAGAGATCAATATTTACATTTTGATTCTCACCATCCACTGTAGCACTAAATGGGAGTTATCAGAACCCTACACCACTGAGCTGAAGGTCTGCCTACTAGCAAAGATGGGAAAGAAAAAGAACTAAAACATCAAGGAAGCCCTCAGAACATGTGGCTATCTCAAGTGGGCTTTCATCAAATCCCAAAAAAGGAACAGTTGGCGTGCCATACTTGTTAATTCTTTTTTTAAAATACAGTATGGAACCTCTGAGAAATGGCAGTTTGATGTACAGTTATGGACACAGGTCTATTCTTATCTCTCATAAGTTCTTGAGGGAGACCTTTAAGGGGTTAGAAAATGTCAGCAAATCTCCCCCCCAAAATTTCCCCATTCTTGCAATGTTTTAAAAACTCATTTAATGCTTTATGAACTTATTTGATTACAGTAAGGGAATGGCCCCATTCAGTAAATGGTGGATTGCAGCTAGATTTACTTAATGTATACTTATTAAAATAGATACCCTTTAATTCTAGTTTTAGAGACCTATTCTAAATATTCCTGATTTGAAATTCAATGCATAAACTGCTTTAGGTTCACTTTCAGTTTTTTAAAAAACTGTTTTTCTAGTACAACTTATTTTGTCTTGGTATGAAGAAAGACACAAGACAGAATGTTGTGCTGGAAATTACAGTTTCCTTTCTTGGTGGTCAGCTTCTAAAATGCAAGTGGTTTGTAAGAATATAGGAAAAATTGTGACTGGGAGATGTCCTTCCGAAAATGGAGGCTTAACAACTACTTTTTGCTTTAGGAATAATATTTTTTTTGTTTTTGTCCTTTGTTGTTTTGTTTGTGTCAGATAAGGAAAATAGAGGAACAAAAGGTGCAAGAAAGTTAAATATTCATATTACTAGCCAAGGAAATGAGCTGAAATCATTGTTCCAATTAGAACAAGAATTCTGGTATAAATGGAGGAGTTAATTGAATCCTGCCACACCCCAATCGCTTTTCAATGCAGCCACATTTTTCAATTAGTAAAAAACTTTCAAGCAAGTGATCTGTCAAACACATTGAGAGATGATTTCTGCATATAAGACGACTATGCTACATGTTCCTCTTTCTGTTTAAAATGGTTCAGTAACTTAGATAACTATTACCATCTCTCAAGCTTGAGTTAATTAGGAATACATCAAAAAGGTTCTGGAATTTCTTGCTATGATGGTTTCACCAGT